ATTTTCTGCGTTATTTTAACGATTTTCTGCGTTATTTTAAACGCAACCACTGCAATTGCGGAAGTTTAATTTGCACCAACCTAATACTGTTCTTATTGCAGAGATACAAGAATGCTATAAGCAGACTTCGGAAAACGAAACATTGGATTTGGCTAGGTATGACTCGTCTAAACTGCTCAGCGATGGTGCTCAAAAATGGATAACTTTCCTAGACTTGCTACTAGAACCTTAGAAATTTTCGCTTAATTGGTGCATCTTATGGAAAGATACGAAGAATAATGTGAACGTTCAAAAATAAGGTGTTCAAACACTTTCAGCTCCAACAATAAGCTCAAAACGAGTCAGCTTCTCAATGTACAGCACGCATGTCTTGGGTTGCTTTTGGAATTTTTCAACCGAAAGAGATATTATAACACGAAAACGTGGAAAATGCGTTTCTCATCGACACGAGCTTATATTGCTTAGCTCAAAACTGAAGCAATCTGAAGTAAGATGAATAAATGGTGACTGAAGTTTTATAGAGCAGAAAAAGCACTGTTAAATTTTATGCACGATTTGGCCAGAAATTGCTGGAAAATGGGGTAAAATAGGTATACAAGAGAAATCGCGGAATCCTATGGAACAATCTTATAAAATTTTAACAAATATAAGCTCTGTTCAACTCAGTGAGAATGACGCCAAAAGAAGAGCACTGGGCAGAAATACTATTCTGGTCTTAGCATGAAGAAAACTTACGTGACAGGCAATTCTGGGGAACATGAAAAGTACGTTTCAGGCCCTTATTACGGCATTTACAGTAGATTCCCCATAAAAACCTAACACCATACCTGCGAAAATAGAACGGCATACAACATAAATAGGAAGGATCATTGCGACATTCTCCGGTTCCCTACAAGATTTTTTTCGAACGCGTTCTTGTCAACTTTTTACGACTTCTCGACTCATCTCTAATATTTGTTACGTGTTTTGTGTACGCTCAGAAAATAGGCACAAAAGAACAGAAAAGCTGTGCGGATGACTACATTGCGAGTGTAGCCTACCGCGTATACATTAGTTATAAAAGAATAGCGGATCCGGACCACTCCGCGGTCCCGCTGGTTTCGTTTCGCCGTCCTGTTTTGCATTTCTTGCTTCTTCTCTAGTCAGATTATTATCGGATGGTGTACACACGCCGGATGGCGCACATGGCGTGCGAAGCACATGCTGGACAGCCTCACGCCGGACGTACAGTGCAAACGCTTGACGGCACACGCGCTTGACGGCGCACATGCCGGAAAGATCGACATGTGCGCCGTGAGGCCTGCGCACGGTCCGTCCGGCGAGGCTCTGCTTGGCCCGTGCGCCGTCAGGCGGGTGAGCCGGACGGATGGTGCGCCTCACGGCGCACGGTCCAGGTGGCGCCACGTCGCACGGGCCGTCCATATGCTTGACGTCGCGCGCACGCTGCGGAGGAAGGTGTGGTCCCATTAAAATGAACTCTACTGATGCTCGGCAGCCCTTAAATACGATAGTGATATAATTTCATTCCTGTTTCACTTGAACAACTCTTCACGTTTGACACGTTAAGAAATAGAAGGCCCGGAAAAGGCCCCAGTGACGGGAAAGTTAAAAATTTGACACGTTTCTTGCATAACTCCATGCGCGGAACACGATGATTGCGTCAGTTTTTTTTTCGGATAGGCCCTGGTTTTTGCGTACACACAGACAGATGAACACATACACACATGAAACCTCAATTAATATATTAGAACATATCTCGTAGCAGCATCAAAAATTCCACCACGTTATTAATGAGTACTTTCAAGTGCAGACGCGCCAGGATGCAAGGCAGTTTGGTTTTTACAGCAGTTCAAATCATCTGAGCAAAAATTATGAAGGAAATACATTGTTCGTAAAGTAATGAGACAAAATTTTAAG